AAGAAATAAAGGTGCCATGACATTTTCTCATTCAGATGTTCACGGAGTGTGTCAGGTTGATCCTGGAAGGCTTTTCTTGTCTCGTCATCTCAGATTCCTCCAGAGCTGTTCAGTAATGATGCCAGTTCTGCAGAGCAGCAGGAAATCAGCACTCTGTGCATCAGTCCGTCAGAAGAGACCCTGGCCGTCAGCACAGACCGCGGGCAGCTCTACGGCATCAGCCTCTCCCTAGCCGAGCTGAACAAGGTGCCGTCTGCCTCAGTTATTTATATACTAAAGAAATTGGGTTCATTTTTTTAATCTCTTTTTAAAATTTTTTTAATTCTTTATTGTCTTTTTAACTATATATTTATAGTATTTATTTATTTTTTATTGATATTTTGAATTAGCTTTTATTTCTATATTTTCATTTTCATTTTAGAACAATTTGTAATCATTTTGTTATGGGCTAATTTTGTCATTTTTATTTCAGTTTTAGTTTTAGTTCGATTTTAGTTTTTATTTATATCCAGTTAGTAATTTTAGCACTTTAAAAGAATGCTTCAATCAAAAATGAAAATTTGCTAAAAATGTACTCGGGCCAACTAAAGTGTAAATGAGTTTGTTTATTCATCAGTACAGAGTTGGAGAAATGTAACATTACATCACTTGCTCACCATTGGATCCTGAATGGGTGCCGTCAGAATGAGAGTCCTAACAGCTAAAAAAAACACCACAATAATCCACTCCAGTCCATCAGTTAACGTTTTGTGAAGCAAAAAGCCGCAAGTTTGTAAGAAACAAATCCATCATTGAGACAATTAAACCATCACTTCTGGCCAAAATACCAGTCTATAATCTAAACTTAATGAGAGAATTATCAGACCATTCAAAAATGATCATACTACTGTGTTATAAATATAGCCACGTGGGCTCAGGAGTAATTCCAAAAATCATTGTGACAGTCCGTTGCTGCATTAAGAAATGCAACCTGTACACACGGAGAAAGCTATATAATCCACAGTCCTCAATCCTGTGCTGTTGAGTTGTCTGGGCTTGAGTGTCCCATAATAGCAGCATGTCTAGTGTAATAAAAGAGGTGTTTTACTCCTAGATCTGTTTGTACTCATAATACCAGTTGTGACTAATTCAGCTCTTTCTCCCGTTGTGTTATCAGGGTGTTTGTGCTCAGTTTGAGCACCTGTCTCACTCGTCCCACTCCAGCGTTATCACAGGTTTATCCACCTGCATCCGCAAACCGCTCATTGCCACCTGTTCCCTGGACCGCTCAGTGCGCATCTGGAACTTTGAGACCAAGTAAGTTCAGCTCTGTTAAAGGGTTAGTTCACCCAAAAATGAAAATTATGTCATTAATTACTCACCCTTGTGTCGTTCCACACCCGTAAGACCTCTGTTCATCATCGGAACACAAATTAAGATATTTTGATGAGTTCTGAGAGCTCTCTGATCCTCCCATAGACAGCAATGTAATTACCACGATCAAGGTCCAGAAACGTAGCAC